GTGCCAGTATGTTTATCATTTCAGATTGAACCATTGTGTCAAAAGTCCTGATCTGGATTTGAAAAAGTTTACTATTCCATAAAATGTTTCTACTCTGAAAAATACCACTAAATCTTTCTAAAGCGGGCTCCTTTTAAATAAAAAGAAACTAATGCATCTGAAAAAGAGCAGAAAGGAAATTTCTTTGGAATCTTATCGTGACACCCACAAAGCGGTGTCCCGAGACAGTTCGTCTAATTTGAATCTTCTATTGAACATTTGCAGTACATAATGACTTGGCAAGGTTTCTGATGACCCAGGCAGCCAATGTTTGCCAAGAAAGGAGTGCCATTTTTCAAGTGACGGAAGAGGAGACCAAGGACTCATAACCCAGGACTCAGAACCTGAGGCATGCCTGGGAACTAAAATGACCAAACAACCTGCATCGTGCAAAAAATTTTCCTGCAAATTTTGAAAACGTTTGAAAATTTTCTACGCCCCAGCCCCCCCCCCCCAGCCCCCGGTTCCGATGGGCCTGAATAAGAGTATTTCACATTTCAAGGCGTTGCTTTCGTTTAATCGTACATTTACATATTCCCGAGCTACCCGAGTTTTCGTTTTTCACACAAAGTCGGAATAAAATCAGATTCATTTCCCCCTTGCAATGATGTGCAGTCTTTTGTTCGATGTGTAAAACTTTTGGATTTATGGACAATTGTTCATGGTATGCAATGTTATAACTATTCTTATAAAGGAAACAGCGAGTGCATCGTCGAAAACATATACGGTCCTGGGTCCTGGTCCTGGTCCTGGTCCTGGTCCTGGGTCCTGGTCCTCAGTCCTGGTCCTGGGTCCTGGTCCTCAGTCCTGGTCCTCGGTCCTGGTCCTGGGTCCTGGTCCTCGGTCCTGGTCCTCGGTCCTGGTCCTGGGTCCTGGGTCCTGGTCCTCGGTCCTGGTCCTGGGTCCTGGGTCCTGCCTTGAGGTCCTGGGTCCTTGTTTTCCGGTATGCCACTTGCAAGTACTTATAACTTTGGGGGTTTTTTGTCGATTGCTTTGCGGGATGGGCTTGTTTGACGTTTGCGTTCAGAGAGCATTCAGAGGAAGCTTTGGGATTCCATTGAATAAGTTGTTGTTGACCTTACCTTTGACAAGGCACAGAGAATCACTGTTGCCATGGAATTAGCCCAAAGGAATGTAGTTGATTTACAGCCATCAAGTTAAAGTGGTGGATTAGGAGTTAACAAGATAGAACATTAGAATAATAAGCAGGCAAAAGCAAGTGATTCTGTTTCTAAATCTGCTAAACCTGCTCCAACCAGTGCACCTGCTGGTGTTGCTAAAACTTAATGCAAATGATTGCAATTTCCAATCATTGAAATGTTTTAATTGCTCCAAACAAGATCACTCTGCAAAGGGGTGTAGAAATGAAAAGAAGAAAACTACCAGCTGTGAAAACAGTTTTTCTTGGTACTTCATCCAGTAATGTTGGGTAAAGTAGTGATGAAGACTTGCATACGACCTTTATTTGTAGAGGTGATTCTAGGGCTACCTTGCAAGAAACAGTTTCTGTCAATGGTGTTCCTTTGACTAAGAAAATTGACACTAGAGCAGTAGTTTTAGTTGTTCGAAATGCTATTGATGAGAAGTATTTGCCACATGTGCCCTTGGGTTTATTTACAAACCATTTTTGTTCTTATTCTGGAGATGTTCTTGCAACTAAGGGAGACATTTTGGTTGATGTTGAGTTACCATTGTCAGGTCAAAAGGCTAAGTAAACAATTGGTTGTTGTTGATGGGGACAAACCAGCTTTGTTAGGAATAAAATGGTTGATGGAAATTAAGCTTGATTGGAATCAGCTGTTAGTGGTAATTTACGGTTTGGGTGAGGAGTTAGTAAAAAAATACAAGTATGTTTTAAATGCACGGTGTTATAAAAGGATTTAAAGCAGATTTACTTATTTAAATCTCATTCTAGAAAGATGCTAGACCTGTTTTTAAGAAAACCCGTCCTGTTCCTTTATCTTTGAAGGAAATTGTGGAGAAGGAATTTGATCGTTTGACCAAAGGTGGTCAAAGATAGAAAGGTTAAATTTTGGTGTCTCTAGTGTACCTGCCAGATTTCAGTCAGTCATGGATAGGGTATTGTCTGTAGAATGTGTGAAGAATGTTGTATGTTACTTGGATGATATTCGGATCACAACTAGATCTATTGAGGAGCTAAGGAAATCCTTACAGAGGTTTTGCAGAGGCTAGAAAGTCATAACATTAAAGCTAAACTCAGTATATGGGAATTCTTTAAGTCTTCTGTCACTTACCTTGGATACAAGATAGACAGGATTGCATCCAACTGAAGAGAAAATCAGGGTCATTATTGATGCACCTGCTCCAACCAGTGTTACAGAGTTAAGATCCTGGCTTGAATTGATAATTTATTATGGGAGGTTTCAAAAAGGCCTTCCCTCCATTTTAGGGCCTTTGCATAAGCTGTTAAGGAAGTATGTAACTCTGAAGTGGTCAGAGGCATGTCAGGAAAGCATTTAATGCTTGTAAAGCACAGTTGAGCAGCAGTAGGGTAGCTGGACTGTGTTGCATGTGGTTTTGGAGTTGGAGCTGTGCTGTCACATGTAATGGAAGATGATTCAGAATAACCAATAGCATATGCTTCTGTAACATTAAGTTCAAGTGAAAGAAACTATGCACAATAAGCAGGGGCGTCGTGGCGAATGAATTCTAGAGAGGGCCAAGAAGAAACATTTTCCGACAAAATTTCTTTGATTTATTTTAATCAAATAGAAGTATTTCATGTTGGTGTAGGGGCGGGGGGGGGACACATAACCTTTGCTTTAGCTTTAAAGATATCTAAAATGCACTTTGAACTTTGTCTCATACTTGCTGTGTAAGTCCCTGACATATCGCAACACTATAGATCTGTAGATAAGGACAAGGATTTGAACAAAGTTACTACCATGGTTGCTGCCGAAAGAGAAATTCTTTTATCATCTTTATGCTTCAAGTTCGCCGGAAATTACATTCATTTGAGTGAATCTCAATAATAAAATTCTATTTTCAAAATGAACATCCACTGGGGGAAAGCGATGGTATTTATTAATTTATTCCTTTTTTTACCTTATGCAACATAACTGCCTAAATTTCAATATCTGGGACAGAATTTTAAAATCTGGTGATAAGCAAAGAATTGGCACTGTCCTGGTCTTCAATATCAAATAAAGATGAATTGATGACCAAAATTGCAAATTTCCATAACCAAATTTGGCCCTTGAAGATTTTAATTTTAACAGACGAAATCCGAGCAGCAAATCATTCTATGGCAGAAATTAGTATATCCTGAGAAATCATTTTGCTTTTGTGGAAATCTAGTATATTCTTTACAAAAGTGAATTGTTTCTCGATTATACGATAAGTATTTTAGTTCAAGTAATTTATTTGGCTAAAAACTCCGTTTCATTCCTCCTTTTTACCCATAAGTTTGAGAATTTTCCGACAGAACAATAATTTTTCCGAAAATCTGTCAAATTTTGGAAGCAGAGGGGGCCACGGCCCCCCTTGCCCACCTGGCCACGACGCCCCTGACAGTTAAAGAAAGAGGCCTTAGCAACGATTTTTGGGGTAAACAAATTACACAAATATTTTTATGGAGGAACATTTACTTTGGTGACAGATCATAAACCGCTGAATTCTATTCTTGGTGCACAGTCTGGTATTCCAACACTAGTAGCAGCTCGATTGCAACGTTGGGCTTTGATCTTTGCAGCTTATCAATACAAACTGTCGCACAGCTTATCTAATGATCAGGCAAATGCTGATGCACTTTCTAGATTACCAAGTGGTAATTTACAGGAAGGAAAAGAGCCTTCAGTGTGCCAAGTTAGGTTTACTAATACTTTGCCAATCTCTGCTAAAGATATACAGCAAGTGACAGGAAAGGTATACCTTTATCCAGAGTTCTTTCATTTGTTTTGAATGGTTGGCTAGAAGCTTGTGGCACTTAAGAGTTAAGGCCATATTTCAATCGCAAGCTAAAGCTATCAGCAGAGCAGGGGTGTGTATTGTGGGGTAAAGGATGATTATTCCACCAAAATATAGAAATAGCATACTTCAAGAATTACATGAAACACGCCAAGGTATCTGCCGTACTAAAGCTTATGCCAGAAGTTATATCTGGTGGCCAAATCTTGATTCACAGATAGGAGAATATCTACAGAGTTGTGAAAGCTGTCAAATGTTTAGAAATAAGCCAGCACATGCTCCATTGCATCCCTGGAAGTTTCCAGCAAGAGCCTGGCAGAGAATTCATATTGACTATGGAATGCTTGACAGACAGATGCTTTGATTGTCATAGATAGCTATTCCAAATGGATAGAAATGCACGTAATGTTTGGTACCATCAGTGGAGCAACCAGAGCTAGGCTGGGGTACATTTGTGCAAGCTATGGATTGCCAGAGGAACTTGTTTCCGATAATTGTCCTCAGTTTGTTTCTGAAGAGTTTGACATGCAGAGTATGTTAAGTTTAGTAAAACCTAATCTAATGTTGAATTGAGTTATTTTGAAAAGGCAAGGTGAATTTCTGGATAAGAAGTTTAAACTTTACCATCAGTATTGATTGAGCCTGAAGTTTTTACTGAACCACCGACCGTTAACTTTTTAATACAGCTAATCACCTGTCATACCATCCTCACAACCGACAACATGTTTTTCCTAGCATTATAATCATCATCACCACCATTACTATCATCAACATTCCATTATTCTCAGTTCCATCACAATTATTATTATTATTTTTGTTTTTTTTATATTCATGTTCATAGTCATCATTATCATCCCATTACATCAGTCTCTACAGCACCACCCACAATCTCTCACATCACCAACCACCCTT